AATTATGAGCTCAATGTAACATTTTTTTTCTGTATGTTGTAGCATTAATTAATTAATTAATTAATTACTAAAAATTGGAATGGTGGGTGGAGAAAGACACTCTTGCCACGACGAGAATGGGAAAATGTCGGCAAGGTCCCTCCCACGTGTTGCTTTAATAGTCTAAGTAACGGCTCTTTTTTTCTCTTTCCTAGTTCATTTTATTTTTATTTTCTTTACTATTTTCTTGTTCATTAATAAATATCTTTATAAGGATAACGATATTATGCGTCAGTTTCACGTGAGTTTTCCGTGGGAATTTGTGCCGCATTGAATTCCACTGGTTAATTTCTTTTTTTTTTCATCTTTTTAGAAAAATAATATATATATATAGGGGCTGGTTCAAATAAAAACTATGTCTGGTGTGAGAACCGTGAGAATCATATTTGATGCTATTTTTAATATTACATGGTGCTATCATTTTCATAAATGCTAATAAAAATTTTGTTGCTATTTTTAATCAAATACATCCTAGTTAAAAATAGCACTAAAACACAATTAATCATAGCACTGCATAAAATTAAAAATAGCGGTTCTCACGGTTCTCACGCTAAGACTTGGTTCTCATTTGAACCACATCCTATATATATATATATATCTGTATGGTTGTGGAAATAAATACGAGTTCCCTGTATTGTGTAGATTTACATATATCCTTCAATAATAAATGAACTAGTACATAGCCCGTGCAATGCACGGGGTGCACAATTTTAAGGCTATTTATCCAGGCTTATAATTATATACATGAATAAAGAAAAATGTATGGGATATATATAGTATGTGACCCGTGCAAATCACGAGATATATTTATTTGGAGAATATTATATTATAAAATGCAATATTCAATAAAAGTTTATAATATGCAAGAAAATTGTACAATGTTCAATAAAAGTTTTATAATATTCAAGTGGAGTCTTAAAGTCTCTTGTACATTAAGACTACTGACAAAATAATATTTTAATCAATGAGTTTCCTTTCCTTGTAGCCAAATTGTAAATGTGATTTGAGGAGTACAACAAATCGATATATAGCTGACTTGTTTTTTTCATTGTAGTTTTTTTTCTTTTTTTTATAATGAATTTAAAGATATTCTAAAATATAGCAAAAATTAATTTTTTTTATTACAATTAGGAATTTTACTAAATATAAACTCTCAATTTATGGTGTTAATCAACGTTTAAGTCTAAAAAATTAGGAATTTTTACCTTTTAATCAACGTTTAAATTTAAAAAACAATAGAGTTATTATAAATTATTTTTCTATATCTTTTAAAACATTAAATATGAGCAATTTAGGGCTAGCTTGTAAAATAATTAATATATTATCTCACTAAAACATTTATACTAATAAAAATGTAACTTTAGCATATAAATTTATCCCTTGATATAAGAGAAAGTAACAGTTTTACTTATTGTTGTTCACCATATAATATTTAATTATTATTTTATTATATATTAGAAAAGAAATATTGTTAAATAGTGTAGTAGAATTATTATAAAATTATATGATTTGTTTTTTACAATATGGATTTAAGATTTTTTTTTATGATTTGATAATATAAACAAATCTATACTTAACTTTGACAAATAAAACAAATAAATACTTTAGTAAATATTTAATGTATATATACTAAATAGGAATATATTTGGTATAATCAAATACCAAATATAATCAAATAAGTCAAAGTGTACATTTTTATTTGGTATTTGATTTTTTTATTATTAAAATCTTTTTATTATACTTACCTTTTTAAAATAAAACAAATAAATAAATCAATTAAATAAATAAAATATTATAACACTAAGATAGTAATGACATTTAATGCAGTTGACTTTTCTTGATAGTAAATATAGTAAATAGAATCTCCTTTTATATAAGTATAAATTGTATAATACGAAAATAATAATGCAATAAATGTTGTTGATTTTTCTTTATACTAAATCTGGTAAATGGTATACTTTTTAACTAGTACAGAGCCCGTGCGATGCACGGGGTGCACAATTTTAAGGCTATTTATCCAGACTTATAATTATATACATGTATACAGCAAAATGTACGGGATATATATAGTATGTGACCCGTGCAAGGCACGGGATATATTTATTTGAGGAATACTATATTATAAGATGCAATATTCAATAAAAGTTTAATAATACGCAGGAAAATTGTACAATAGGATAATATTCGACAAACAAACAATATATATTATTAAAGACCTCCTTGTACACAACATTATGAGTTTGATTTTCCATACAATAATAATACGATTTTTTGTAAAAAGATAAGAAGGAATTTTCAATCTACACAAACTTTAAACATTAGATGTATTTACGTAAATCAATGACTATATAGACAACTAAACCCTTCAATTTAGGCTTGAAATCTACTTTATTTATGGGTGACGTAAAATAAGGATTTAATTTTGACCGATTAAATCTTTATTCATAGGCTTGACATATAAAACTGATTTGATGGGATTTTCTTAACTAAACCGATGCTATGGGATAAAACAAATCTATACTTACCTTTGACTTTTCCAGCAAAGGTAAAAAAATCGGTTCTGATTTTTATCCCATAACAAATATTTAATGTCAAGCCTATAAATACCAAAACAAATCTGTAATTAATATCATTCTATTTCCAGCAAACATTAATTACCTTTGACTTTTCTGCCTACTATTTCTAATAAATAAGATGACTTTTTATATAAGTATAGATTTCATATAATGCAAAGACTGAGATCATAAAAAATAATCCTAAAAACTGAAACAATATATTTGCATAATTTAAAATCATTAAGAAATCGATCTCTAAATCAGATTTGATTTTCATAATATGTTTTTTTTATTTCGAATTCCATACAAAATAGAATTCTTTCCAACCAATAGATGTCATAGCAAATATTAACTCTTAATTATTAGACTATTAGTACATACCGAGCAAATTGTGTACTGATTTTAGAAAGTTAAAATGACTCATGTTAGGTAATTTTACATTTATGCATGTTGAACGGTGGGTTTTAAATATTGTTTCATAGAATGTAAAAGTGTATTATATTATTTTTATGAGATGTTGAATTTGAAAATTAATAGAATTATTCTTCATAGGAATTTTAAATGTAACAATATTCTTTGGTATACACTACTAATAAAATCTATATTTAAAGTTTATATTTTTTTTTATCGAAAAAAATTCCTTAATTTAAGAAATCATATATTTTCAATCAGTCCACATCTATATACATTGTTCACAATTTTAAATCTTGAATTTGATGAAAATTCGTATCTATGAGTGCAAAATATGGTTTAATAAATTAATTTTTTATAATTATTCCAGCCATACTTCTTTATACGATTTTTTGTGAAAATACAAAAGTAAATTCTTAATTTTAAATCAGCCGTACATTAAAGAGTTTAAATTTGTTGAAATTACAAAAGTAGTTTTTTTACTTTTAAACAGACGTAAATTTAAATCAGTAATAAAAAAGTAAAATTTGTTTACCATTTAAATATTAAATCAGCCGTAATTAATGTTATTTGTTTTAGTTGCCACGATTTTCTCCAAACTAAATTAACAACTGTCATGATTTAAGGGCAAAATTTAATGACAATCTATTTTTAGGAGACATTAAATGTATTTGGCGGGAAAAGCTTGCTAAAAGTGTTAAATGGTTAATCTTTTAATATAATGATAGATTTAAGTATAGATCCGGCCAAAATATTAGTATGTATAAGGATAAGACTGATTGCGAAGCTTTTCAAACGTATAACATCAGTTATATTCCCTTTCACATTTGGTAATGGTGCATTTCAACTTACTCAACTTCTATCAACAAAATTTTTATCAAAAAATCAGTATATATCAGTGTAAAATCAGTATTCTGCAAGTCCCGCTAAGAGCATTCATAATGCTTTGGGTCCAATTACAAAAAATTATATGTCACCTAAGAAATATACCTAGTTTAAAAAAAATATATTTTTCAATGCAAATAAAAGTAGATTGAGTCATACTGATGTGACAGCAAAAAAAAGAGATCCGGTCTACCCTTAAGTCTATTTTAGACCCAAGTAAAGACCTAGTCTATTTAGGTTAGAGTAGATTTTGTTAATTTTATATAAATTTATGTATGTCATCCAATACTGAGTTTATTTACATGTCAAGGACCTTCTATGGTTTTTTTTTGTTATTCTAGGCCATTTGTGTGTGGTTCTCTTCTACTTTCGGCCATCGGTGTTGAACCGTTTGTATTCAAACTATGGTTTGCTTCTTAATTAGAGATTTCTATCGTTNAAATTTATGTATAACTAGTTTTTAACCTGTGCATTTACACGGAAAGCAATATAATAGAACAAAAAATAATAAAAAATATAAACAATATTAAAAATCATAATATAATCATTGAAAAAATATTCTAAGAAATAAAAACTAAATATTGTTAAACAATTCTTTATATACAACGTTTGTGGTTTTTCTACCAACATAATCTCCATCACTACAAATCACTATCTCCAAATTAAGACATATAATGGTTTAATTTTTTTAAATAATTATTGTATTTTGTACTATAGATCATATAGGAAATTTAAAAAAAAATACTAAAAAAATACCAACAAAATATTACAAAATAAATAATTGTATTTGGTTGATAAATAATGATATGTGCCAAATATTTAAAACATTTGAACAAAAAAACTCAAATTAGAAGTCCACTTAATTTTTTAGGGTAGTCAAAATCAAATATAAAATAGGTCAATGATAACATGACTATAACTAGAGATAAACTCATTGAGAGTGATGTAAGCCATTTTTTTTTTTTTTATGTCGGCACTTTTCTCGTTATTCACTCTGTCTGAAACTCTAATCCTTAACCCGATTTTACGACAAACTCAGCGAGATTCAATACAAAACAAATGTTTTACCGAAGATTTTCTCCCGGTAAAGGCTTAAAAAAATAAAAATAAAAAACATCCAAGAAATGTTGTTTTTGTGGCCAACAGTAGTGATCGAAAAATAATTTCTTAATCTGTGTTGCTAAATCTTAACAGGTCGGTCAAAATCGGGCGATAATATTACAAATCTATGAAGAGCTGAAATATTTTTTGTTAGACATAGTTTTTATATTTTATTATTTTCAATGATCTGTGTCGTTTTTCGAAATTCTTTGTGAATAAGCTTCAAAGATATATCATATTTTATACATAATTCGAAATTATTTAGATGTTTTTCGAAATCGTTTTTCGAAGAGAACATGACATTGGTTGAACTTTTTCAAATTTTTATGTATTTTGTTCAGGGTTTGAAAAAATAGGTAAGTTTATAACAGATCTGTTCAGCTCTACTAACAAATATATAGGTAAGTTTATAACATATCTGTTCATATCTGTTTATAATATACATTTTGTCCAGATTTTGAACACTAGATAGTTCAATTCTTTCTCGTCTTTCTCATCATATCAGTAAGTGAAGCTTTGCTAAAACTTGTTCAAAATCGCTTTTCGAAGTTGTTCAAAGTCTTTTGCCGAAGTTTTTCAAAGTTTTTAGTATTTGTTCAAAATTTGAAAATATTAGGTAAGTTTATAACAAATATGTTTAGATATATTTATCGCATATTAGGAATTTTTTGTTTAATGTTTAAAAGAATTTGTAGAAATTTTTATTTTTAAAACTTTTACGCAAAAAATCGATTTTAATATAAAGGCAGATGTCTTGGTAAAAGTTGAATGTGTTGATAATAATAGGAAAATCAAGTTATTTTTCTTTCTATATTGTATAGTGTCCAATAATGTTCCACATAATTTGCTGTGTTTTTAATTTTGATTTTTTCATATAAATTTGACTTTTTTTTTGTTGATTATTAATTATGTTTGATATTTCTATATTATGCAACAATCTGTCATTACATACAATGCCTTGTCAATCCTCATTCTTTGACTTTGTCAATTTTCGTTTAATATGACTTTTCTGTTGCTGAAAGTATGGTTTTTAATGCATTAAAATATTGATGTTTTGGATATGTTTTGATGCTATAATCATGCAGAAATTTGTCCCGCCACTTTTTTCTTAAAGGGGAATTGTTTAATGAAAATTAATCATAGTTATATTTATAATTGTGAAATAATATTTTTTTTCATGGCCAACATTTTTTTTAATGAAAAATATGAGACAATTTATTCAACACACTTTTTAATTTATAAAACAGAATGTTGATTGCGATAATCAAATCTGCAAAAATATGCATTTTATTGAATAGTAGTAATATAAAATATTTTATTATTACTACCAAATGGAAAGTCAAATATAGTTAATTTTGCACTATTAATTATGATCATATGGATTTTTTTTATACATATGTTTTTTCAATGAACTTTTTAAATGATAATATTGACAATATAGACTTTGCTATAATAATTGTATAGACTCTACTATAATAATAATTTATTTATTCATTCATTATTTTTTAATTCATCTTATTATGCGTATAGTCTACGTTTATAAATTATATGTCATTTAAATGTATCTACACTATTAATTTATAAGATTTTACTATTTGGGGGAGCTAAATTTTGCAGCTTTATGTTTGATGAAGTATTGTTGGAAATTAAATTACAAAAAAAAATAATTTCATTTTTTATATTGTAATGTAACATGATCTGTATTATAATGTTTATATTTAATACATTTATTAATATTTTTTTATAACTTTAACTGCTTATTCAATTCGTAATGGAATAAAAAAAATAATAATATATAGTTTCTGCACAATAATAATGACTGCCACGTTATATATATAAATGAGAATAAGAAACATAAATGTGGGATTAACTAAAAGAAACCTTCTTAATATAGTCATTAACTAATTAGGCTTAACTAAACGAAACATTCTTAAATGTGGGAGTAGTGAGTAATTAATTAAAAAAAATGTAACTCATTTTGGAAGAAAAGTGAAAATATTTTATTAAATAGGATTAGCTAGCAATTATATATATAGACGGTGGTTTGCGAATGGAGCACTTCAATTATGCTAAGGAACTAACTGTTGGCTCCGTTATGGAGCCAACAGCCAATGAGACAGCTCCATATGGGGCTATCTCACATTGGAGCCATGTGGGACAGCCCCACATGGAACTGTCACATTGGAACCAACAATTGAGTCTTTAGCATTACTGTAGAGCACTTATATCCCATCCAGACCTAAACTAATTTTTTATAAAAAAATTTATTTCGATTTCGGTCCAACCAAATTCAATTTCAGTTAATTTGACTTGATTAATTATATTTTGTGCACCCAACTCTCAACCAAAACTTTTAGACAAAATACAAGCAGCAAGCAGGACACACATAAGAAAACAAGTTGAACTAAAAAAAGTCGAATAAATTCACATTCATGATACAATTCCCCTCAACCTCAAGCAAACCAAATTATAGCCTATGAAAATCAAGAAACTAAAAGTCAAATATTCAATTGAAGCCTTTGAAAATCAAGAAATCAAGTCAAACATTGAATTGAAGCCTCTGAAAATCACAGAAAAAGGATTAAAAAAAATCGGGCCTTTTTGCCTACCTCACGCATTGCATTCTCCCCCACCTTACTTTTTCCCTCTCACCCACAACATAAAGACACCCTTAAAATAATTCCCTCGCAAGCTGGATCAATGCTGAAGAAAAAATAATAAAAAAATATAAAAATGCCATATTCAAATTCTTCAGAGATCACCACAGCTGGTGCCAGCACGCGCGGCGAGGATGAAGAAGCCGACAGGGTCCCAGGCCTCGAGTTTCGAATCCCTAGCGACAACTCGATCAGCTCCATGCGGCTGAGCGTGTCCTCGCCCAGGCTCTCGTTCGCGTCCTCCACGGCCCTCTCCTCGCCGGCGTCCAGCGGGTACTTGACCGGCGCGTCGTTCGATCCGAGGAAGATGAGGAAATCGAAGAGGAGCAGCTCGTGGCACCGGAGGAGGCTGGCGGTCGGGCTGGCGGTTTTGCTGGGGTTCTTGTTCGCCATGAATTGGTGGATGCTTTCTCGGATCCAGGAGCCGGGTCGGAGGCGTGGGGGTTTCAAGGTGAAGATATTGAGGGCGAACAAGAGTACTGTGTTCATCAAGGTACGCTTTCTAGGATTTTTGTGTAGATTTCCTGTGAGGTGGATTGTTAGATGCATTTGGAGTTGGAGGAGGTAGTTGATAGAGTAGGTAATTGATCCGATGCAATCCTTTTGATGAAGTATCACTGGCCTGTTGACATTAATAAGTTGTTAAATCATTGGTTCCTCAGATCAAGTGCTATAAGATTTTTTATGTGAATGGAATGTAAAGGATGTCATTGCAGTTAGTATTGTTCATGCATACATAAAGCCTATGATTTTCTCCACTTGAATTCAAGGTCCAGTTGTTGTAAAAGCACTTGAGTGTCGATTATCAAGACTACTGATTTGACAGATTACAGATGGATTATTATACTTGACTGCATTATTTTTATTTGTTTCCTGGGCTGGTGGTGTTCAATTATTTCCTTCTTCTAGTTCACACTTTTGTGCCTTTAGAATGGACATCTCTGCTTTATGCATCCATAGTTCCATACAATGAGCAATGCACTTTTTCATTGGCCAAAAAGGTTGTTGATGAGAATAGTTGGTAGTCTCAAGGTGGTAAGGAAGTATGAACCAGCTATTATTTACCATATTGTAAGATCTTATATCCACAGGAGTCACTATCGCAATTTCTTCGTGGATGCAGGAAGAACTTCAAAAACTTGGAAGAGGGAAAAAACCTCAGAAAACTATATACGCAAGGCTTTTGGCCAAGGCTGCTCACGCATTAGCTGATGTATGCATTCTGAATTTGGTGGTTGTGTTGCGATTTTGCCTATCTATACTGATATTTTTTACAATTCAGGGAGAGAGCAAACCTGAGCCGAAGGAGTTATGGTTGGAACCTTATGCCCGTGCTTCTTCTTGGACCCCTTGTGCTAATAAACGCAGTTGGCAACCTAGTGGTCTCTCTCTCTTTCTTGCTCTGTCCATCCCTGTGTGTGTGTGTGTGTTGCGTGCGTGTTTGTCGTGTCTTATGAAGGCTAATTTTTTCTTATCACTGTCAGAGGGTAAGACTGGTTATATAATGGTCACAGCAAATGGTGGGATAAATCAGCAGCGAGTTGCTGTAAGTATTTTTAATTTCTGGTGAATCAGTTTGAACTGATACATCTGATCCTTTAATTTGTGTTTGTTAATTTAAGTTTCAAATGTTTTTTCGGTTCCTTTTAGGTCTGCAATGCTGTTGCCGTTGCCAGATTACTTAATGCGACCCTTGTTCTTCCCAAATTTATGTACAGCAGTGTCTGGAGAGATGCTAGGTTGATACTATATAGTATTTCTACTGTTATTTCTTCTATATGTTCTTTGAAATCCATACCACAATGGTATTAAGTTTTTCTTCCGTGCATTTGTTACCATTTTTTCCTGCCATTATGTTATATCCTGTGCTGCATTGTGAAATTTCTTTTCTTCTTTTCCTTTTTCATTTTTTTCTATAACTTCCGTGCCGATGCCTTTGGATGCACGTCGTTAGTTTGTTCATTCACCTGTATCATTACATCTTTGCTATGTGAAATGCGATTATAGATTTGAAGAAAGTGTAATGCACTATGCATTCAACTCTTTTGATCAGTCGTTAATTTTATGGCATTCAACTCATTTGATCAATAGTTCATTTTATGACAAATGATGGAAATATTTGTTTCAAACTCAAAGAAAGAAGCCTCAAACAAACATCTTGGAAACATTATGAAGCAGTAACCATTATATATCACACGAAGATGATGAACAGTGGTTAGCAAAGGCCAAAATTTTCTTCGTAAAGCCCATTTTATAAGTACTCTAGGAAATTATAAAATAGCATGTCCTTATCATTTGCTTATCTTATTTCCAATCAAGCATCTTCCATTCTTTTTCTTTAAGTATCTTCCATTCTTATAAATTTTGTGCTTTCTATCACAGTTGTTACAGAGTTGTCAACATTAATCACTAAATCTGTCTCTTTAACATAAAGCATGCATTACCCTGTTGGCATCGGAAATTGATGGTTAAATTCTGTATTTTCTTAGTCAGTTCGGCGATATTTATCAGGAGGATCATTTCATCAACTACTTGAAGCCTGATATACCAATTGTGAAGGACCTTCCTAAGGAGTTACAGTCCTTAGATTTGGAGGCAATTGGTAGTCTGGTGAGATTCATGGATATTTACATTGGATGCTAAATGCAAGCATAGAATCTGTTCTGTCTCTTGTTTTAACTGTTTTGGTATTATTCTTTGGTCTCAGGTTATGGACACAGATATTATGAAAGAGGCTAAACCAAGCTTTTACTTGAAATACATTCTTCCATTATTACACCTCAACAGAGTCGTTCATTTTGTTGGATTTGGGAACAGATTAGCATCTGATCCTATACCACATCCCTTACAGGTATCTTTAAGCATTTGGCGCATTAGTTAATGCCAGCTATGAGCTTGTCTTGAATTTATTTAGCCCCCTCACCTCTTGAATGTTCTTTTTCATTTTTTTTTATCTCTTACTCCACTTTGCCTCCTAATTAAAGAACTTCATCTAGAGGCTTCGGTGCAGATGCAATTTTCACGCCCTAAGATTTACCCCTAAAATACAAGAAGCTGGTGCCATGCTTATCCGGAGGATGCGTCAAAATGAAAAAGGTTTGGGACGTCTTGACCCATATCTTGTGGGCCCATTTGCGCACTCAACAATGAAGAGGCAAAAAGGTCGTGCAGCTAAAACGTCCAAGTACCTGGCCTTACATCTGAGATTTGAAATTGACATGGTGGCTCATTCGTTATGTGAATTTGGTGGAGGTGAGGAGGAAATGAAAGAATTGGAGGCTTATCGACAAATCCACTTTCCTGCATTGGTGGAACTAAAGAAAACTAAAAAGTATGTTATTCCCCTTTTTGGAGTAATTTTGGCAATAAATGGAAGTTAGTGACATCTTGCCTGTTTCTTTTATATATCTTGGTTTGAGCTAAAGGAAGTCCTTTGTCTTTTGGGGGTAAAATGCTATTTATTCGTCAAAATGCATTTTGCTTGAGATTTTTTGATTTTTTTTTTTTTTTTTANTTGTTTTCTACTATTTCCTGTGACTGGAGGACTTCTTCTCCATCACTAGACTTGCGTAGATTTTTTTGTTTTGACATAACAGTGATTTGATAATGTGTTTGCATATATGTGATGATGCGATATCAGTTCTTCCGAAGGTGTTTTAGCAAGTTAGTGGTGTGTGCAGGTTCCCTTCCCCAACAGAACTAAGATCTGAAGGTCTATGCCCATTGATGCCAGAGGAGACAGTTCTTATGCTTGCTGCCCTTGGGTTCAACCGGCGGGCCCACATATATTTAGCCGGTGCACATATTTATGGAGGGAGTTCGAGATTGGCGGCACTAACGACCCTGTTTCCAAATATGGTCACCAAAGAAAACTTGCTTTCTGCAGATGAAATGCAGCCATTTGCAAATTACTCATCTCAGGTGAACTATGCTTTTTATCTCATTCTACATTTATAATATTGTTTGAGGTCAACATCACTTGGCTCTTTCTATCTCTTACGATCTTACCTCTGGTGACATCTCTCTGCTAATCTGGGTACAGAATTCTTTCCATTGTATATAATTCAAGAATAAGCATTTTGCTGGATTTTTTTTTTTTTTAATAACTCGAACACTTTTGCAGTCAGCGGCACTTGATTTCATTGTATGCTCGGCTGCCGATGTATTTGCCATGACGGATTCCGGAAGTCAATTTTCTTCTTTAGTAGCTGGTTATCGAATTTATTATGGTGGAGGAAAAATGCCTACAATACGGCCAAACAAACGCCGGCTTGCCGACATTTTCGTGAAAAACAACACCATCGAGTGGAAGGTGTTTGAGACGAGAGTGAGGAAAGCAGTGAGACAAAACAAACGAGTATTTTCGCGGCCTTTGGGAAGGAGTGTATATAGATATCCACGGTGTCGGGATTGCATGTGCCATGCTGAATGAGTTTTTTCCTGTTGATACCTGTGCGATATATATCTGTACTCACAACAGTTTTGGTTCTGTGGCCTTGTACGAAAATTCATTACAATTTATTTTCCCTCTGATTATGTGAAAATTCTTTTACTGGTCCTTTCCTCCACTTGTGCTGCATTAATATGCTTTCAATTTATGCACATTGAGTTACCACCCTCTTGTTCTTAGGTTGAGTTGGGAGCAGCTGAAATCTTGTTTGCAATTTGGTGCATGAGATTTTAATTGCAGGTTATAAATTCTTAACTATGGATTAGAACTTAATTCAAAAAACTGTTATCTACCATTGTCATTTGTAAAATGTTTCTACATATTGCAATGTTTATTATATATGCTTCAATCTGGCTTTCTTGATTTGCCTCTTTCTACCTCCTACCATCATTCGGCTTAACCAAGATGAATCATGATGGTGAAGACAAATTCACCATCCAACTCAAGCAGAAATAGGCAAAACTGCCAACACGGTATCTTCACAATGTGATTCAAACTCCATGTGAGCACTATTTCCTTTTTTCCTTTTCTCTTGTTTCGTTTTTTTCTAAATTTTAAGATTGCTGGATACAAAGTAGAAGGGTATATTTTGTTTATCCCTACAGGAAAATTACAGGTAGAAACAGACAAGTCCTAGGTCCAGGGTTGAAGCAATTTTTGAGGGAGACCAAGTTTGTTTCGCTTGATGATTGCAGCTATGCCTGCAATATAAGAGGTTTCCATGCTGGATTCAGATATCAGAGCAAAACTGCAAACCATGTGGATCCTCAGGTAGATGATAGTTAACAAAAGTTTTAGTCATAAAATATACTATTAAGGCGATCTATTTACAAAACAGTCACAGCCATTTTTTTTAGAAATCATGGACAATGCTTTATCTTTTTAACCAATATACCAATTCCACCTGCTGTGGGTACTTGTAGTTGTTAAAATATACAAATCTGAAGGAGCTTGTTGTAATTTTGAAAGATAATAGATGGTTTCTGTAATCAAACTAGATCCTCTCTCTCTCTCTCTCTCTCTCTCTCTCTCATCCATCCATCCATCCATCCATCTATGTATGTATGCATGCTGTTAATATGGAGGACTTGTAATTTGGAAAGATAATCGGGTATATCTTTAGTTTAAGCTAAACTTCAAGGGCAGTTTTTGTAATTTAATTATTTTACTTCCCTTTCCGTCAATTGTTTTTGGGACCAGTGTTCTGTAATCAGAAAACTGTGTACGTTTGGAAGAACCGTGATTCGTGTTTGCAGCCAGCACGAACCCTATTTGTTTGGAAACTCCGTACAATACAGCCTGCAAACAAGTTGTAAGACACGAATTGCATGTTATTGGATATCTAACAAGTTTTGTTTTCTATTTTTCTTTTTTGGTGTTTTGGCCTTTTGGTGCTCCGTCTTTTGATAGTTTGCAGTGTGAACTGGGAAATGTGTTTATGCATGATGAACTGAAGACAGTTGAAAATTGGAGGGAAATGATAGTAAAAGGAATTTCATTTGCGGACTGTCTTGTTATTGTTATATATCCTCTTATCTATATTGTTACTTGTAATGCTTTAATCAGTGTGTGAAAGCCGAACCAAAACAGAAATTAGAGCTTTCTGGAACACTCATGCTCCAACTTAATTTTTATGAAATGAAGCACAAATCAAAAGTAAAGATACGCATTTTGCAAACACTTAGTGTAGATTTTTTTATTTTTTTGGGTTTCTTTGTTTTGGAGCTAAATTTGAGGACCCTCCTTTTGTTTTGGAACTATTGTATTTTGCTTTGGGTGATGACTGTAAGAGCACCCACAATGCTTTAGGTCTCTTTTTGTATATGTGGCATATAATTGGACTTGAGTCTTAAATGATGTGGACAAACCCAAGTAAAAAACTTCAATAACTTTGGAATGCAAAAATAAAAATACTAGGTCTAACATATATGTCAACTAATAAAAATGATCTAATATGTTTTTTTTATTAAAAGAAAAATTAAAGTAGGAATAAATTATTAATGTTTGGGTTTGTACTTGGGTCCAAAATAGACCCAAGTGTGGACTTAGTCTCTTTTTTTTATTGCCACATAAGCTAGACCATGTTCACTTTTAATTGCATTGGGAAGCATTTTTTTATAGACTAGGTCTATTTCTTACATGACATGTGATTTTTTATCAAGAGACCCAAAGCATTGTGGATGCTCTAAGGGAACTACTGTATTTTGCTTAAGGTGACAGACTGGCGCATAATATAACACATCCTACTATGAAAATGCATTGTTTTCTAATATGTGATATTATTATAAAAGCATGTAAAATATATATCCCGCCTATATAATAGGTCTGTCTAATAGCAAAACAATATGTACGTTATATTTTACAAGTGAAATTCCTTAATTTAACTATAGTTTAATGTGGTGTTCATTAATTTTTGCCGAGGATTCATTGCTTAGCTTGATTTTCATTAGGCGAAGATCAAAAAATTTAAGGTTATACATGCATGTATGTAATTATTTTAAGCTTGGATAAGATCGCGCTAATAAAAAGTTTCTGATTGGCATTCCCCATTTATGTGTATCTGTTTCTCCATTTATGTGTATCTGGGCTGAAGCATGAATTTGTCTGTATGCCATCATCAGTTTTGCTATGGAGCCATTGGATGGCTCGACTTATGGAACCATCCATACTTATTCACCAATAGTGTATTGAAACGTGTTCTGCAATAAATATACTTTGGACATGTGTCAACACATCCATACTTATTCACCAATAGTGTATTGAAACGTGTTCTGCAATAAATACACTTTGGACATGTGTCAACACATTAAGTGGTGGATGGCTCCATAAGAAAACCATCCGATGACTCCATAGAATTTTTGATGCCATCATAATGCCATCTTCTCCCTTTCTAATTAATGCATTGTGGATGAATTAATGAATACAACTTGCCATGAAGCATGAATTTGTCTGTATGCCATCATAATGCCATCTTCTCCCTTTCTAATTAATGCATTGTGGATGAATTAATGAATACAACTTGCCACTCTATCAGTATATTTATATGCTTTCTGGCAAAAATATTATATTTTAACATAATAAAAAAATACATATAACATTTTATAAAATATATTTGCTTAGTTTTTTTATATATAATTACTATATAAACGAAAGTATATATATGCTTTTTTTAGAAAAATTTATAATTGCTCTCTTAGCTTCAGGATCCACCACAATATCCGATGCAATATAAGTAAAAATATACTAACATTTTATAGAACCCGTATACATAATTTGTGAAACAACATAATTAACAGGAACATTTGCGATGCCAACATTATGTTTTTGTTGTCATAACTACTATTATTAAAGTTGTAAACACACTTATGCCAACATTATGGTTTTGCTGTCATGATTACTAAAGTTGTAAACGAACCGAGCTCGAGCCATCAATGAGACGAGCCTGACTCAACTCGGTAAGTAAACTATGCAGAAATTGAGCTCGAGATCAGCTCGTTTATTAATATTAACGAGCATAGTTCGGCGATCACGAGCTTTGACAAATTGAACTATAGAAAATTATATAAAAAATATCTTTTCAAGCCTTATTGAGCCGAGTCAAGCTCAGCTCGTTAAAGAAACGAGCTTTAAGAGAGCTGAGTTGATTTATGAAGCGAGCCAAGCTGAACTCGAGCCTTAACGGGCCGAGCGAGCCAAGATCACAAGCAGCTCGTTTAGCCGTTTCATTTAACAGGTCTACACACATACAATCCGTGACATTTACTACGTTTTATAACTACAAATACCCTTCTGACCTCTAGTTATCTTACAACGAAACCCCTATCCAGGTCAGATATATCAACAGGATATATGCAAATTCGTGGAGAGCGCCATATGGTTCAATCTTGAACAGTTTGAGAGACTAAATAACTGAGAGAGAGAGAGAGAGATGGTTCACAATTATAAAACCAAAAATCTTCACATGTTATCTTAACTCAGATAAATTTCAAACAGGGGGGGAATGAATCTCCAGAGTATCAATAACCTGTCGTGCAGAACAAAGTTCATACTCATGAACTCCCACCACTCATACAAAAAGTAGATATATTATTTGAGCTTAGAGCTTCTGAATAACCACCGAATTCAACAAACCCGCCTGCTCGACGGTCAGCGTGAGATCGGACAGTATTTTGGGGGGAAACCCAACCGCCTGCAATTGATAGGGCCTGGGGCCACCGGGCCTTGAGGAATCAATAAATGAGCGGATGTCCGCTATTGTGTGGTGGTGGTTCAATTGAACAACCATGCGGGCCCCATCGGCCAGCCTGAGCTGGATGGAAGTCGAGGGCTTTGATTCATCCACCACGAGGCCCATTGAAGGGGATGATGATGATGATGGTGGTGGTGCACTTGCCACATGGCCTTCTGTGGGACCCACATCAGTTGCCGAGCTGCTACTGCTGCTTCCTAGAGTCCTGCCGACACCCTGAAATGGAACACGGCTTATTGCCGGTTCCTGGGGAAGATAANAAAAAAAAAAAAAAAAAAAAATCAAAAAAATAAGATTTTCTTGAATTTTTTTTTCACACCCCCAACCATACAGTATTTGCATTGTTACTGTATTAACATCATTCTTCTCAAAGATAACAGGAACCCTAAATTTTCAGACTCATAATATATTTCGAGGAAAACAAGGGATGAGCGATCATGTTAGAACTTCTTCATTTCCTTTTATTTTATGTATATTATTATTTTTGTTTAAAACATAGTGGTGGGTTCTACCTACTGGATTAAATACCTATTAGGGTTAGGTTTAATTATGGCTCATATTAAGAAGGGTACTGTCATCAGCTGGGCTTATCTTTTGTTTTTTCTTATAGAGTGAGGATCTATAACAATAGAGCTCCAATCTGGATAAAAGAAGAGTACAAACTCACGAACTTAGCATCCCAAGGTCTAGAAAATTACATGCATATACACAGCAATTCACCTTAAGAGTTAAATAGGGATTAACATAGAAGATTGTACTCTAACCTAAACAAGTTGTTCAGAGGTCAGTCATGGTTCCAAGGAATTTATGATTGGACCAACAATCATTGATCAATCGAAACTAGAAACTACTCATCGTTGTCAACAGTATAAAAAATATAATAACCATTAGGATCTAATTCTAATCTCAACTCTTTTGCTAAATTTACTTTTGTTTTTTTTCCTATGATTTCTTGTTATGGGGTAAAATGTAACACACACACACGTGGGGATTTTGACTTGATCAGCAAAAACTGAGTCCTCACTTGGTTTATTGTCCACTTGTTGGCCAAACTAGATATCTTTTGAGACGAGCTTCAGTTTTATATATTTCTTCTGTACAAAACCCACCCTAAATAGTAAATAAAGCACCAATTTACATTTAAGCAACCTGGGAGCAAGCAATATGACAGCCAAAAGAAAAAAAAGAACAAATACAACGATGACGTGCATGTAAAAACAAAAACCCGATCAGACAAAGTATAGAGATAAATATGCAATGCACTTACTGGGTAGTTTTCATTCCTCTTTATGAGATTAACATGTACAGCGGTTTTCCTGTCTAAGGGTTCCAGCTCTTTAGGGCACTCTGATTTCCCGATGCTCTGCAGTGAGTATTTGCTTATAGTATGTCAAAAATCCAAGAGCTCCACTTCCAATATTTTATATTATATATGAAAATTTGCCAATTGCACACACAAATGAGGAAAACCGAAGAGATTAAAAAGGTGTCTCAAGAAAAGTTTCCAAAAGCTGAAACTTCAGCATAATTGATCTGATTTATGTTGCATCACTCTACTTTAAGGGTGCAATTGGATTTTGTTGGAAAATTTTTATTTCAGTAGAGAAGAAGTTTTGGCAAGAAAAATGAAAAGTTTGAAAATTATGATCGATGATAAAATGGAAAATAATGACTAAACTTGATGTGATGTAAAGTAATAAGATAATTAGTAAATAGTTTTAGAAGTATGTGAGTGGATGAATAGTAATTTTATAGTAAGTTGTGCAGTGAAAATTGATTTTTATTTAAATATAATTTTATTAAGATTGAGGTGGGAAAAAGTGAGATGAGAGTGTACTTAGAAAATCTTCTCCAGTGAGATGAAAATGCCTTTCATTTCATATCCAACCACAGACGTACAGAAAATCCAATGCCTGATTCTATTTGAGGAAATGTCAAGTTCCATATAAAATTTTGGACGTTTTGTTTTAAAAATACTCTCCAATGCAAACAACATAAGACTATGTCTAGATGATGTGACGTGAAAAAATGGACTAGGTCTCCACTTGAGTACAGTTTGATACATGAATTTAGAAGATCCAATGTCTTCCATAAAAATTAGCATTTGAACAAAACCACTCATATTTTAAAATATTGCATTAGATTGAGTATGGTCATTTCTCCACATCATTCAAGACAATAAGTCTATTACTATGACAACTAAGCAAAATTAGACCCAAAGCATTATGGATGCTCTTACTACCTCACATTCTATCTGGCATTGCATGTTACCTGAATAAAAGGATCATTTTCTGGATCATCCAACCTTCTCAGAGGGCCATCATTAACAGTGAAACCATTTCTCCAGAAAACAATGTTGTGCACAACTGATCCAGGCTGCTGTGGAGAAGTTGGTACAGTCTCACCTGAAAGCAATCTTCCAGTCCCAGTAAAGCTTCTAGAGCTTGCAGATGGTTGATCTTCCATGGGTCCTTGAACAGCACCTTGCTGTCGGGCTTGATCAAAGATTGCATCAACATCTTTACCCTTGGATGGATCTTGGACAAGCATTCCACTGTAAAAGTAACATATCACATTAACAGTCAGATAACGAATTTGACCACTAAAAGACTACCTATCAGATAAGTGAAGACATGGTAATGATCACAACTTAAATATCAGACTGAATTATGGCACCTGATAAATTCAACAACCATTCACAAGCAATGCAGCTATAACACCCACAGACATACATAAAATGCATCAAATTATACCCGTATCCATTTCAAAACATACATTTGAAGATTTTAAATAAAGGAAGCTACAAAGACGCAAGGTAAAATCCAGTAGAAGCGGAGGGAGCTAATGTATACGATATAATTGATGTGAAAATCTAAAATAAATGGGAAACAAATCTTCAATAACTATCCTCACCTTCTTGGCGGTAACTTCACTTCCATATCACTAAAAGCAACTAAAGCAATCATCTGTGATCGAGAAAATATTAAATCCTACACAGATACTCACTGTAATCCGTACACAAAAAGGGGAAACCAAAAATCTCCAGCAATACATTCGTGAAACACGTAAACAGAGGACTCCATTCCAACCAAGAGACGGTAATATCAGAAAACGAGCCGAATTACAAAACATCATATATCAATTTGAATACCCGAAAACATAGCACAAGTCGATTGAAATTCGCAGAAAGCACGAGAGAAACAATCAAATAAAAACAACCTAGGGTTTGGTCAATAAATTAGAAAATTGGGGCAAATTACGGAAGAGAACCTCTTCTCGCCGCCGGTGTAGTACTCCTGAGGTCCGTCGGAATCACTATCGGAGTCGTGAGCAGTGGAACGGTTCAGATCGGAGAGGGTACGGATTCCTCCGGGCCTGCTGCCAGAGGGTTTTGCGGGCTTCTTGTCGCGCGAAGACATTTTTCTCGATTTGGGGACGACTGACACTTTGGATGGTGGAGAGCAAAATAGTTGGATCTAGCTGACACGGTTTGGCTCCAAGCCAACCTTGTATATACGGTAAGTAAATATACCATATCTATATATATATAATTGCTAGCTAAGCAATAAATTTTACCTAATAAATAAAACCTAATAAATTTATAAATCATTAATAAAACCTAATAAATTTTATTTATGTGGCATTAATACACCCAATCTCATTAATAAAAAAATATTTCATTACATTTTTTTGGATTAATTAAGACAAAAACCATTATATTTTATGTTAATTGATTAATAATTATATTTTTTATTGAATAATATAATAGTTAATATTAAAATTAGTAATTATATTTTATACTAAATAATATATGAAAGTTACATAAAATTATATTTTACACTAAAATCGATATTTTTTTATATGATAAAGATGTTGTTTATTAAAAATTTAATTTTTGTAAGTCATAATAAAATTTCTTAAAATCACATAAGCAATTGTTATAATAAATTTAATATTTTTCAGCTAATTAATTGGTCATGATCACTCAAAATTATAAAAAGTATATATTTATTACATTTTATGCAATCAATATAGTGATTCATATACTATCAAATCATGTGTACTATTTATTTTAACCAATGATCAAATTTTAAAATATAATACTATTATATAATTTATAATTTTAATATTATATACATAAATATAACTTATAATACTATATGTTTGAAATATAATACAATTATATAACTTATAATTTTTATATTATATACATAAATATAACTTATAATATTTAATTTTATTTACATCTGTGCAAATGCACAGAGTCGAATACTAGTTAATTTGATGATTACTTAAATAACACTAATATAATTTTATTAATATGGTATGTTTACTTATTATATATAGAAGGTTGCTCCACTAACTGTTGGTTTCATAACAAAACCGTTAACTTACATCTTACATGCAATTTATTAATTAGATAATAATTTTTTTTTCAGTTCTCATAAATTAAATACTATTACTAATAACGTGTACATACACAAATCTAAATAAAAGTATCAAATGACATATATATAAAAAAAATATTAAAACTATAAGTTAAATAATGGTACCATATTTTAAAATTTTGGTCATTACATAAAATGAACAATATAAAAATTGTGTTTAATTACATATAGATCATTATATTAATTACATAAAATATAGTGGATAATGTAGTTTTTGTAATTTTAAAGATCTGAATCAATTAATTATATATCATGATATATTAAAATTCTTCTTCTTCTTCTTCTTCTTCTTCTTCTTCTTCTTCTTCTTCTTCTTCTTCTTCTTCTTCTTCTTTTAAAGCTTATGTAACTTCCATATACTATTTAGTGAATTATATGTAATAGGTTTTAACAGTAATTTGTATATGTGAGAATAGTTAAATAATATTATTACACTTTAATTATGTAAAATGTAACTTTTGTGACATAACAACTAATCAAGCTTATACGCAAACAAATACAAATAAACTATTATAAATTGTATATATGGACATTATTTATAATTATATAATATACATCATATATTTTATAAAATTAATCATTAGTAAAACTGAACAATATAATGATAAATTATTTTAGTTATATATGAATCACCATAAGTATGGAATAAAATATAATGAATAATGTAACTTTTATAAATTTAAGAGATCCAAACCAATTAGTTAGTTTGAAAAAATATTAAATTATATTATTATTATTATTATTATTATTATTATTTATGCAATTTAAGGGGTTTGTTATTCCATTAAACCAATTGGCTATTAAAAAGTTGCTTAATGATATAAAAATAAAATTATGACATTAATTAAAAAACTGAAAAAAAAAAATTGTCATAATTTTCTAAAGTGTATAATTTGCATAAACTTTTAGTGTGAATTTATAATTAGTTAATATTAGTAGTAATTATTATGTGATAAATAAGTTAAAAAATATTATTACACTTAATAATTAATAAAAAACTATAACTAATATTGGTTTTATTTGAGAATATAACTATAAGAAAGAAGTAGAGTTGGATTGCATGAAGTCGTAAGATCAAGTTATAGGTGTATTCACAAAGCCGTTGAAGCTCGACATGTTCAAGAATATACGATTTTTTCTTGCAGTGATGAATTTAGTTTAAGAAGGGATATTGAATAAATAAACTAAATTCATCATTGATTAATGTATCTAGAAGAATCTAAGAGTTTATTCACGTTTTTAGTTGGTCAAATAGGAATTAATATGGTGCCTGAAAGTGAGTTAATTTGATACATGGTGAAAATCTTAATTATTACTTATTAGAGAGTTTAAAGGTATTTCTCACACTAATATATACCCTATGATGAAACCATTTGCAAGTAGTAAGAAGGTGAAGAAGTAAGTAGAACAAAAGAATCAAATAATACTTTTTTCATTTTTTTTTAAGGTGAAGAAGTAAGTAGAACAAAAGAATCAAATAATATTTTTTTCATTTTTTTTTTGTCGAAACGATAAAATTTATAAATAAAAAACATAATTACATCTAGATCTCAACCAAAACAACCGAACAAATCAGATATTCTATTGAATCAAGTGGGAGGATAACCCCAAAGGGAGCTTAGAATCAACATAACTAACCCACCCACTACAAAAAATCTAATAATATTTTGTTTAGTTTCCTTCACTTCTCATTTTTCAATTTTCTAATAGTCCCTCCACTTTTCTGAAATCTCAACCAAAAACTCCTGCAATGCCTCAAGTCCAACCACATTTCACAAGAGAATATGTGAAAATCTTAACTAAAAAACTCTAGCAACACCTAAAACTTCTTTTTGCAAAAAGTTATTTGATGAATCGTAAAATTAAAAAGAAGAAAAGGGAGTAGAGGAAGAGGCCAGCCCCTTGTTGGATTGCAGCTAAAGTGGAGGGAGATGTTAAATAAATCACGGAGAGGAATTTGTTGGGTTGGCATGTTGGGCAAAAATGGAGATATCAAACATATTTAATGAGGTGAAATTGACTTTTTGTATGTATCCATCATTTGTCAAATACGAATTTATTTTAATCAGGCTAACAATCAAAAATAGCAAATATCAATTTAATTTGATTAGTATTTAGTATAATTCATCAATTACATGCAAGCATGTTTGTTTATGAAAATTTTTGGTTTTGTTTAGATTTTTTAGTTTGGTTTGGTTAATTTTGAAAAATGTGGTATGGTTAGGTGTGAGTGGGATATTAAAATAATATTTAAAATAAAATAATTAAAATTAATTTGATATAAAAGTATGAGAGAATTGATTTGAAGTGATAGTTAGTTATAATAATGTGATTGGGTAAATAGTTAATTAAGGTTGATATGGTGTGTATGATTGATTGATATTATTTAATTATATTGATGATAGTGAGATTGAGTTAAAGTTGAGTTAAGAAAAATGGTTAAGTTAAAATGTTGAAATTTTTTCGAAAAATCTTATAAACAAACATGCTCTAAGTTGCTCTAATCTCCAACAAAACAGAACAGCCCATTAAAAATGATCCCAGCCAGAAGATTCGAATTAGAAAACAGAACATACTATTAAGATTTGGACAGATCACAGACAATTGTCCAAATGATTAAAATCTGATCTGTATATCAGTTTGACAAAATGGAACCAATTATGAAAGCTACTGTTCATGATCATACGAACCATCCGAGGAAATTACAAATAAAATAAAATAACAAGAAAATAAAAAGTTATGTATTGCTAAATAAAATCAGTCCACATTAAAAAGAGTAAATTCTAATTTTTTTCTTAAAAAAAAAGGCTGTAATATTATTTTTATATTTTTTACTTTTACTTCTGACTCAATATGACAATGTCCAGAAACGAATCAGAGCAAAGGAAAACCAAACCAAATATTGATAGTGACTAATTGACTTTCCTGGTAAACAGACTTTTTATACTAAACAAACCACTTCCACGTACTCCTTCGGCGGCGACGCCTTCGCCACCGCCACCGCCGGCGGAGGCGGCGGCCGAGACGCACTCTGCGCTTCTGCAACCGGAATGCTGCCGGTACCCAATACAAGTCGGAATATTCAGACTCAACGACCTAGCCCTAGAATGGCCCCCTGGCACCGGCGGGGGCACTTTCCGGCGACCCTCGCCGCCGTCCTTCCTGACGGCCGACTCGAAGCTCCGCCTCCCTCCGCCGCGCCGGGCCTGCCATACGGGGCTGCTCCTCCCCACGGGGACCCCGCGGCCGGGGCTGCTCGGCCACCGCCTCGACTTCGACTCGCTGGCCGAGTTGCTCCTGGAGCAGGGCGCGCTGCTCGCCTTCCGCGCCGCCGCCGGACGCGGCCGCCCCGCGCCGTTCCCGGCGGACCTGCTCCTCGAGAAGGGCCATATGTTGATGTTGATGTTGAGCTCCGCCGCCGTGACGCCGCTCCCGCGGCCGCCGGTGCTCCTCTCTCTCTTCTTCTCCTTAAAGCCATTGACAATTGTATCCTTTTCCTTGGTGTTAATTAGATCCTCAACGTCCATGTCCATGGAGGTCCGTGGACTTTTCTTCTCGTTTCGCCGGAAAATATCGCTCCACCGCCGCGAGAGGGACTGGGTACTGGGAGCGACCGCCGTCAATCGAGCCGATCCGATGGAGGGGACTTCGGGTTCGGGATCGGGTCGCGATGGATCCGACCCAGATGATTCTGGATCTGGTGCCGGCGGCGGGGTGTTGTCGGACAGGCGGAGGTGGTGGAGGGGGAGGAGTACGCCACCGGAGAAAAGCTGGTCGGCGGTGAGGAGGTCGGTTGGAGAGAAGGAGCTGAAGAATTCGAATTCCGGCGAGTTAGAAACGCCAATGGATCTTCCGATTGGAGTAATTTGAGGAAGGGGCTCTGGTTCTTCCATTATCCGGACCGCAAGTGTGTGTGTGTGTTTTTTTTTAAGCCTTTATTGTTTTTGTATATATGATTGGGGTTTGGGGTGTACGGAGAAGTATAAATGAGATTGTAGCTCTTAAACCAACGTTCTATATACAACAAGTAATATATTAGTATAATGTCCGTGTACTATACGTGGTGTTTCAT